AGAGGTTGATCTTGAACTTGGACGTCAGGGTAAGCTCATCGGCGCTGCCGTTGAGTATTCTGCCACTATCTGGTCGACATTTAAGATCAAGGACTGGGGCCTCTTTGGTGAAGCTTAAACTAGTTGAAGTTTGTTAAAAGCAAACGGAGAACATATTCAGGTTACGGAGGGGGTGCGGCAGGAAAGAGCAGGATATCATGAGATGACTACCACGACTTACGACTTGTTTTCCTTGTCGATGGATGAATATACAATTATGGACATGACAAGTATGGTTCTCTAGCATCCAGGAATATGCAGGCTCACAACTTGATTTCAGATGGACATGACAACATGTCATGATAGAAGGCCATGTTGGTGAGCATTCAGGCATATATAGCTTGGGAAGCTAAACAATTTTAAGAAACTGCTGGCTGATAAGACTCAAATCGATCTTTGTCTGCATTTGCAACCCAGTAACTATATACACTCTATCATCACTCTAATTTCTTGAAAGCTTGCCTGTTAATACAGGATAATCCATGAGCTTCCATGAGGGTAGCGAAGGCAGTATATCTGTAAGCTGGAGAGTGTTCCTATATATGTTATATGTTATATGATATCTTATAGTCTGGAATTTGACAGGCAGCGTCGTGGGTGAGTGAGAACGCAGGCGAATTCAGTTAACTCAGACGCGAAAATTATGATATTAAATGGGTATAGACAAACAAACTCCTAGTTATGCATTTATGCTTCAGCCTCAATAGTTAGATCAACCATCTTGTCGACAACACTCTCAACTCCCAGCTCGCTAGCCGCTTTGCTTCCAGTCTTACCACCCTCTTGCTTCGCCCACTTCTCTGCAATGAGCTTCATGACCACCTTCTGGGGACTGCCCGGGTTCTCTCCTCTGACCACACCCATCTGCTCTTTCACAAACGCCTGATATCGGCTCGGTGCTTTGCCTGCTGCTGCTCCCCTGGGTACTGGCTTGGTCTGCTTCAAGTTACCCTTGCACTTCCCACATTTATATCGCTGGGTATCAATACTTTTGGAGTGCCGCTTGTACTCAACTCCGCATTCTTCACACTCCCAGACGTACTTGAAGTCGATTTCGTAACTGTGCTTGGTCGTCACTTCGATGCCGCGATCACCAAACTTGGCCGAGCACTTGGCCGCCCAAGCCTTGAACTCTCGACCGTGAGGGTTTGTCGTTATGCCACTAACCATGAAGTTGGCGAGATGGCAAAACTCATGTGCCATAACATTGAGTAGGCGGTTCTCGTCGTCAATGACCTTCTCGGCAAGTTCAATTGATGCATGATGCTTGAATGTCTTGATGAGTTGGCCGTCTTCCGCCTTGCGTGTCGTCCTGATAGTCTCACAACGCCAACTTGCTCGCCCAGCCGTCGTATTAAGTGTTTTCGTCCAAACGAGCTTGACGCCGCCTGTGGATTCAGCAAGCTCGGCAATCCTACCCTGTGTGATCTCGCGATCGAGTTCGGATAGAAAGCTTTCGGCCAGTGCATGTTTTCTAGATTCAAATGACTTTTTGGTCTCCTTCTTGGGCTCTTTCTTTGGGCTCGCCTTGCTGGGACTCTTGGTGCCGGGGGGGAGGATGAGCTTGCGTGGCGAGTGCTGGTCGTTCCAATCGTTGACAAAGTCCTGGTTCCAAAAGGCATCCATACTTGGATGATGTGGCGTCCTAGGGATCTGTATTTTCTTGGTTGGTGATGCAAGCCCTCTTGCCTTGGGTGCTTTGGGAGGAGTACTGGGTGGTGTGGTGAACTCGTCTATCTTCGATACTCTGCTCTCCTCATCTGAAAAGTCCTCGAGCTGTAGCCGCAGCTTAGATAATGTGTCTGCAAGGTCCGAGGTGGTGGTCGTCCCTGAAACAAGCCGTTTTCCACTTTGGCTGGTCTTCTTGGACCCAAAAACCTCTTTACTCGAAGTATTCTTGACCGTATCGCGAGGTTTCTTATTGCTAATGCTTGTAGAGGGGTTTGGTTGACGACTCGGAGCATTTCTGATTGATGGAATACGCTCCCTGGTAGCAACTGTCTTTGATGGCTGGCTACTCAAGAACCTTGCCCCTTTTCTCATTGGGGGCTCAGGCGAGTCGTTCAACCAATCCGACTCTGAGGCAGAGTCAGAATGTTCGTCTGCAGTTTGATAGATACTTGGCTCTTCTGCTTTCTCATCTTCCTGGCTCACTTCGCTTTCAGCATCGCTATCAATCTCTCGTGCAAAAAGCAGTACTTTTGACTTGGTCCCAGAATGAATACTTGGTGTCGGCTCCTGAATCTCCAGAGTAGGTATTGCCGCCGTACTGGTATTTGTTTTCTGAAGCCGTCGGACCCTTTTCAAGACTGTTTCCTTTTCGGATTCATAGTTGTCGTCACTCTCGTCATCAGAATCTTGCACAACCCTCTGGTTTCTCCTCCTTCTTGGCTGTTGTCGAGACTGCGGCATGTCCTTCTCAGTCCCAGAGCGACATTCGGATTCTAAATATGAAGAAACTTTGTCGACTGGGTTTGTTTGTCTCGATGGCTTCTTCTCATAGCTTGTAGCCCTTGACTTACTCCGTCGACCACCTCGTGTGCTTTTCTGTTCTTCCGAGTTCCATTTCTGAAAGAGCGGGTTGGCGGCGGCTTGGTTAGGCTCTCCAAGACGTCGCACACGTCGGGTCTCAGCGTTGGAAGCAGTCTTAGGAATCGCAGGCTTGCTGACTGAAAGCGCAGGAGTAGTTGTCTTTGGTGCTCGGGTGCTCGGTTGCCGAGTAAGCGTTTCCAGATCAGGTAGGTCATCGTCACTGGAGGGATAAATGTTTGCCAGTCTTGCCATGGTGGATGTGTTGAGTCGCAGGTGAAGAGGCTTAAGTTATGGCATATGCTGGTTGAGGGTGCATTTCTTGCGTTGTCAATGGCATGCGGGGATGTAGAGTGATGCGTTTCGGTAGGTGATGCTTTGAGAGGTATGTAATGACCTGGAGATGATAGCTTCTATGGCATAAACCGGTTTAGCTTGAATGCATGATGGCTGCAGTAAAATTTGAATCTTCTATGATCTATCAAGATCTGGAACTCAATGTAAAGAGGCCTTGTCGCGTTGGCACAGCAACAGACCCATATTGGAATGTGGGATTGCGAGTCCACGTGACGCCCACCAACTTCCACGGATCGGGATGCGAAACATACAAGACACAGGCTCACGATGAATAATTGTTTGATGGATGGGTGCCAGATGTATCCGTAGTTCGTAATGTGAGACATCTTTCATGCCTACGGATACAAGTATCGAGTTGACTAAGCGGCTTCGTTCACAATTCTAGAACACGAAGCTAGTATTGACACTTTAATATCGGAATGAGAAGCCCGGTCCGGAGGAACGGGAAACAACTTGCAATGCTTATTTTTGGTGCTCGCTTGTGTCGTAGTCCCTTGGCAAATTTTCAATGCCAGTCGCTGAGACCTGAGAGGCGATAGATGGGTATAGGTTAGGTTAATCCATGACAAAACCAACACTTTTACATTACTTCATGATTCCTGCTACATGAAACATCTCGTTGAGGCATAACCATTACGTACCTTTGTAATTAATTGGCCATGGTATTACGGAGCAGAACATATTCTGCTGGAGAGTGAAGCCATGACGAAGAAACAATCCGGTGCGAGGCTAACTGATGAACTGGACGTGACTCCATTGCCGGACTGTTTGGAGGGCCAGCAAGTGGGAATGGAAAAAAGGAGGTGGCCATTTTCAGAAGTCTCCGCCAAAAGTTGCCTATCACTTCGGCTGATCTATAATACTAGAGCTCACTCCGTGAAACCATGTGGTGATCATTAATCGGCTGTCCATAGATCATTATTAGCTGGCTTAATACAGCAGCCGTGTCGCCGTGCGTGTCACATTGCTGATGGTCATCTACGGCTAGGATCATCATGTTTATTGAATCAACCTGCAGGTCAATCACGGTCTATCGTCGATAACAAGCAGCACAAGCATCGTCTCTACAACCAACCCATGCACAATAATTTATTTACACCTAGCCAATTTTGTCCCTAGCTACTGCTAACTAGTCAACGGGTGGCGGGACGCCGGCTTATCTTGACAACAGAAACTTGAATATTTCGGAGCAGTTCCCGTAATAATAATACTCAACATCAAACCAGTCGCAACAAAACGATTCCCTTCTAGCGTGGTAGACACGGGCCTGCTAAACCAGTTTGGGATTGGGAAATTGGACCAACTGCAAAGTTAATCCTTTAGCACAGCAGATGGGGAATAGAGAGAAAAAAAATTGAAGCGGAACCACAGCTTTCTATGGAGAGAATTTGGGGGATCGATGATCGTGTTGGATCGTGTCGGTGTCTGAAGCTTACCAGGGATAACCTTGTAAGGGAGCTGCTGTTTGGGCTGGCGTATCACACAGGCCGCGTACAGCGTCGTCATCGATTATAATTATGCTGCTGACGGGACGGGATCAAGAAAAGAGCGAGCTCATTTGTGGCAGTGTCACGGCGGGAAGAGAACAACTGAGAACACACTCAATTGAGTTGCCATTAGCTATTGCTTTTCACGGGATCCAGGGAAACTCCTTTAATTACACGCTGCATGCTATCTCGTGTGAAGGAGCTGGTTTCGTTGCAGTACCAGCAAGTATTGCTCTTGTCCACCCTATGAAAATGCGTGACGCAGGACCTGTTCCTGCATGATGAATGGGTACGGTGCAGGGCATCCACTGACTTTTCTCCTCAATTTCTAAGCGGCCTTGCTTATCAATGCCCTCTGTCTACTCCGTAATTACCGGCACAACAATCGAGATTGCATCTTTAAGGCTGAAACGGGTTCAATAAAGAGTACGGAGTAGCATGAGATCAAAATATGGTCCAGATAATGAATGACTTTATCCATATTTGATAGGTTTGGGATAAGTGGAAGAGCCAAGCATGAATTTAGGTACCAGCCATCCCATCCTCTGATAGTGACGAGCAGGGTACGTGCATATTCAGTTCGAGGACATGGTTACGCAGCAGTTCAAGTTCTCCCCGCCTGAGAATTCGACGAACCAGCTGAAGCTTCTCGAAGTCCTTACTTGTGGCTGTGGCCGCAGCCGTGACGGGTACCAGCAGCTTGCAGGCATAGACACGTGTACGTGTAGCTTGATAACAGCTTCGTTCCATTTACTAGTAGTGAATCTCAAACCTGAAAATCATCGAAATGAGCAGGCATACATATAATTTCCTTGATACATAATGCATCCTGTGCCTTGATATCGTGGTTAGGGTACAATCAATAACTCAGCCACTCGCTGGATTTAACCTTTGGGTGACCAACTGCAACCTTCAATCATGCCACTGCAGCACAACTGGCTATACTAACCCCATGCTTGAGGCAAAAACCGAGCAGGTTGGCTGGTTGTGGCCTTGATGCCTTAGGTGTCATGCTTCTCATATAGATAATCTTGGTGAGCGAGAGTGAGGCATTGCCAATGCCAACCATAACTCCGGGCCACAGAAAGAAATTGACTCGAGCTTCGGATGCGCCGTTCAGGGGCACCGGTGCCCCTCAGTGGACTCTGGAGGCTTCATCCAAAAGCCCGATTTGCAGCGAGCACTTGCCAGGCCCACAAAGGAGTGACTCCCTACCAATGATGACGCGTGGCTGGCTATTTCTGAACAGTACTTTAAAGGTACGAGCTCGTACAAGGTTCCGCCTCATGGGTCTTATGCAAGCGGGGCTCCAGAAGCAAACGCCTTACAGCGGAATGTGAGCAGAACAAGGCCAGCTGAGATATTGCCGCAGCATGTACCCACCAGGTACTCACTCCCATTAGAGAGAGAGAATGTTGAACTGCAGTGCATCCATCCGAGGAATCCGCCTGTCATTCTCTCAATCAGAGTCCAAACTGGCCAACCCCCTCCAGAGACAGAGACCCAACCATCCCCTTGCAATCACCAATCAAGACCCGTATCCCCTGGCACTCCTGGTCAGCGCCCCTGGCTTGCACTGCGAGTCGCGGGCGCGGGCCAGCCTTTAGGGGCGATGGGCCTCTCTGATGGGATGGGATAGATGGGTCTATCGAGAGGAAAGCAAGGAACGAAAAGGGACAAACAGGAAACGGCCCGGATGATCCACTGTTGGGACAGCGCATCATGATGGACGAGGATGGATGGATACCTTATTACATATTACAGTAGAATAGTTGATGGGACCTGTTAATGCTTAATGTTAGGGAATCGGACGGGTTGTGCTTTGAATCGAATTGAGTTTCAGTGGTCTTGCCGCTGTGAACTCCGGGCTTAGCGGGTATCACGCCCTGTAACTTTGAATCCAGTGTTAATAACGTTTTGTAGCCAATGATCCACTTTTTGAGTCGAGATATGCTCTTGGCCATGCTGAGGATTGTAGCTAATTCGCTGATCTGACCAGAAATGGAGCGGCGAGGCTCCTAAAAAAAAGTCTCCCTTCTGTTAGTTGCTGTTGCTGGATGTATTGTTGCTCCCTCCCTCTCGTTGTGTAGCACTAGCAGTCAGTGAGTGAATGAATGGTGTTTTTTTTTTGTTTCCCATCGCGCTCTCCCTTCCATTCTCACTCCCCCGTTTTTGTGTACGTACATCCGTGTCTACGTTCAAGGAATCAAAACATTCAATCCCAGCTTGTCGCCCAAGTCTTGATCTCTTCTTTCTCCCCCCTCTCGAGGTCTTTGGCCACTGCAAAAGGATCACACTTCTAATAATACATACATATCACGTCTGTTGAATAATTGGAAACTTCTCTCCATCCATCCATCAATCAGTTCAAGGTGGTTCCCCTGTTATCTTACAGACACACCCTTGCATTCTCCACCCCCTGACTTCGCCCTGGATAACCCGGCGCCGAGACACGCAGCGTTTCTCTCCCTCCCCGTGCGGGTTGGAACTCAAACCACCAAAAACCAACCCTCGTCTTCTCCCCTTTGCTGTTCTTTGCATTACGCATTGCCGACACTCGTTTTACGGCTACGCCAAATCGCTTTGTCTCGCACTTGGACTAACGACGTCGACTTCTCAAGCTGGTGAATCACTCTCCGTGATTGATTCATCTTCTTGAACCCGCATCGACGACGAATCGCATAATTCACTGGTGTTTCTTTCTAGGCCAAGCCACTGCCCGTTCGGCCTTTTTGACGGTTTTTTCTTTTTGACAACAAACAATCAATATCTTGCAGTGCCGGCCACGCTTGTTCTTCCGCCTGATCTTGATTCACACTCACGCTCGCTGGCCATCCACATGTGTACCACCAGGTGAGTTTTGGTAGCTTGATTGTCCATGAGGTTGTACCCTGTGCTTCGTTCATCTGGCTTCATATCACTAGATGACGTCTCCTAGGGCAGGACAATCCATGACGTGGGCATGATTCCTACGGACAGTATCTGACCTTATCCTCCAACAGATAATTAATTTAAACAACATGTCGGGATATCCAGGCGGCGGTCAACGCGACCAGTACGATGATGGTTATGGCCATCAACAGGGAGGCAACCAGCAACAACACGGTGGAAACACTGACTCCTACTACCAAGACGATCAGTACTACGATCAAGGCTACGACAACCGTGGCCCAAATCACAACAACAACAACAACAACAACAACCATGATGGTTACTACGACGAATCGTGAGCATCATGTCCCTCCTCTCATAGTCCTTTCACTAACACACTAGTAGTGGTTACTACAACGCCGACCCCAATAACCCCTACCAGCAGGATGGAGGCTATTACGACGGCCACGATCAATACCAAGATGGATACTACGACAATGGCCAGGGTGGCTACTATGACCAGGACTACGACCGTGGCTATCAAGGCCAAGGAGGTCGTCAGGGCTCTGAGGAAGACTCCGAGACTTTCAGCGACTTTACCATGAGATCGGACATGGCTCGCGCTGCTGAAATGGATTACTACGGCCGGGGCGACGAACGTTACAATAGCTACAACGATGGTCAACGCGGCTACCGACCTCCTTCCTCGCAAATCTCCTATGGTGGGAATCGCTCTTCGGGTGCTTCGACTCCGAACTATGGCATGGACTACGGCAATGTTCTCCCTGCTGGTCAGCGATCCCGAGAGCCCTATCCGGCCTGGACTTCGGACGCCCAGATTCCTTTGTCCAAGGAGGAGATTGAGGACATCTTCCTCGATCTGACCTCAAAGTTCGGTTTCCAGCGTGACAGCATGCGCAACATGTACGATCATCTGATGATTCTTCTCGACTCACGAGCCTCGCGCATGACCCCAAACCAGGCACTTCTCTCGCTTCATGCTGATTATATTGGTGGTGACAACGCAAACTACCGCAAATGGTACTTTGCTGCTCACCTAGACTTGGATGACGCTGTAGGATTCTCCAATGCACAAGGCAAAGGCCTAAAGCGCAAGAAGAAGGGTGGAAAGAAGAAGAAGAAGGATGCCGAGGCTAACGAGGCTGAGACTCTGCAGGAGCTTGAGGGCGATGACAGTCTCGAAGCTGCTGAGTACCGCTGGAAGAGTCGCATGAACAAGATGTCTCAGCATGATCGGGTTCGTCAGATCGCTCTGTACCTGCTCTGCTGGGGTGAAGCCAACCAAGTTCGTTTCATGCCCGAGTGCTTGTGTTTCATCTTCAAGTGTGCGGATGATTACCTTAACTCTCCCGCTTGCCAAGCTCTCGTTGAGCCTGTGGAGGAGTTTACTTACCTTAACAACGTCATTACTCCTCTCTACCAATACTTGAGAGACCAGGGATACGAGATTTCCGACGGCGTGTACGTCCGCCGTGAGCGTGACCACAAGAATATTGTTGGTTATGATGATTGTAACCAGCTTTTTTGGTATCCAGAAGGTATTGAACGCATTGCCCTTCAAGATAAGAGCAAGCTGGTTGATGTGCCTCCTGCTGAGCGATATCTCAAGCTGAAGGATGTCAACTGGAAGAAATGCTTTTTCAAGACTTACAAGGAGTCTCGTTCTTGGTTCCATCTTCTCGTCAACTTCAACCGTATTTGGATCATTCATTTGACCATGTTCTGGTTCTACACCTCTCATAACGCTCCCAGTCTCCTAGTAGGACCTAAATACGAACAGCAGGTTAACCAGAAACCCTCAACGGCTAAGCAATTCTCTATCGTCGGCTTTGGTGGTGCCATTGCATCGCTTATTCAGGTTCTCGCTACTCTTGCGGAATGGGCTTATGTTCCTCGTCGATGGGCTGGTGCGCAGCATCTCACCAAGCGACTCCTGTTCTTGCTCTTTATCCTCGTTCTCAACGTCGCCCCTGGCGTAAAGGTTTTCATGTTGCCAAAACTTGGACCTGAGAAGATCAACACCGCTATTGGTATCGTTCACTTCATCATAGCTGTCATCACTTTCATCTTCTTCTCTATCATGCCCCTGGGAGGTCTATTTGGCAGCTACCTGTCTACCAATAGCAGACGCTACGTTGCTAGTCAGACATTCACTGCTAGCTGGCCAAGACTCCGTGGCAATGACATGGCAATGTCCTATGGTTTGTGGGCAACAGTATTTGGTGTGAAGATGGGTGTCTCGTATACCTACCTGATTCTTTCGTTCCGCGATCCCATCCGATACTTGAGTATCATGAATGTTGACTCTTGCCTGGGTGACAAGACCCTCCTCGGCAATCAGCTTTGCCGCTGGCACCCGACAATTGTCCTGGCCCTGATGGCCTTCACTGACGTTATCTTCTTCTTCCTCGATACTTACCTTTGGTATGTCTTGCTGAACACCGTCTTCTCGGTTTCACGATCGTTCTATATTGGATCCTCCATCTGGACACCCTGGCGCAACATCTTCTCTCGCCTTCCCAAGCGTGTTTACTCCAAGGTTCTAGCAACCACGGACATGGAGATCAAGTATAAACCAAAGGTTCTTATTTCGCAGATTTGGAACGCCATCGTTATTTCGATGTATCGTGAGCATCTTCTTGCGATCGAGCACGTTCAGAAGCTTCTTTATCATCAGGTTCCTTCTGAGCAGGAGGGCAAGCGAACTCTTCGCGCACCTACCTTCTTCATTTCTCAGGAAGATCACTCTTTCAAGACCGAGTTCTTTCCTGCCTACAGTGAAGCTGAACGCCGCATTTCGTTCTTTGCGCAATCCCTATCGACTCCAATTCCTGAGCCTCTACCCGTTGACAACATGCCTACCTTTACAGTTATGATCCCCCACTACAGCGAGAAGATTCTTCTTTCTCTCCGTGAAATCATTCGCGAGGATGAGCCTTACTCTCGTGTTACACTCTTGGAGTATCTCAAGCAGCTCCACCCTCACGAGTGGGACTGCTTCGTCAAAGATACCAAGATTCTGGCTGACGAAACCTCGCAATACAACGGCGAGACAGATAAGAATGAGAAGGACACCGCCAAAAGCAAGATCGACGATCTTCCCTTTTACTGCATTGGTTTCAAGTCCTCCGCACCCGAGTACACCCTCCGTACTCGTATCTGGGCGTCTCTTCGTTTCCAAACCCTGTACCGCACCATCTCTGGTTTTATGAACTATAGCCGTGCCATCAAGCTCCTCTATCGTGTCGAGAACCCCGAGGTTGTTCAGATGTTCGGTGGTAACACCGACAAGCTCGAACGTGAACTTGAGCGTATGGCCCGTCGCAAGTTCAAGATTGTCGTTTCTATGCAGCGATTCTCCAAGTTCAAGAAAGAAGAGATGGAAAATGCCGAATTTTTGCTTCGCGCTTATCCTGACCTTCAAATCGCCTATTTGGACGAGGAACCCCCGGTCGCTGAAGGCGAAGAGCCCCGGCTTTACTCAGTTCTTATTGACGGCCATTCTGAAGTTATGGAGAACGGCATGCGACGCCCCAAATTCCGTGTTCAACTCTCTGGCAACCCTATCCTTGGTGACGGAAAGTCCGACAACCAGAACCATTCCATTATCTTCTACCGTGGAGAGTACATCCAGCTCATCGATGCCAACCAGGACAATTATCTCGAGGAGTGTCTCAAGATTCGCAGCGTTTTGGCCGAATTTGAAGAGATGAAG